ATATATATATATATATATATATAAAACGTCGTCTCTGATAAATGCAAAAATTTGATATAAAATCACTACAGATTCGATCTCCATATTAAAGTATACTATTAAGAGTAATTCCATATATAACAATGATAGAATAAATGCAACAAAAATTTTAAATAAAAGAGAACATAATAACGAAATATTATGGGTTTTCTACAATAAGTCATTATCTAAGCTTTAAGTCTTAAGCTATAAGAAATTGATCAATCATAATCAATTACTCTTCTCATATTCAATTGTGATTAGTTAATTTCTTATGATTTAACACTTAAAACTTAAGTAATAGCTTGTTGTATAAAAAGTCCATTAAGCTACAAATAAAACTGAAATACAAATGTATATTGTATAGTATTTCAGAAATGCTTTGTGTCATAAATTGTGTCATGTTACTGCAATACATACCTATTCAGCATGGTACGAATTATAGATTCTTGCCACATGAACATTTTTCTACAGAGAAATTTTTTAATCGCTTATAAAAATAATTGCATGAATATCCTTACGAACATTCATTCATCATTCTATCTATAAACGAACTTTTAGCTCTTCCATTCTTTGTTTTATTCTTTTTCGCATCTCTTTATATCTGAAATATCGAATTATTATAATATTACGATTCTTATTGACAAATGTTATGTACTTACTTTTCTTTTAAGACAAGAATCTGACGTTCCTCTTCATAATGGTAACGTTGTAGTATGCCATGGCATTCTGCTACAGATAAATTAAGAAACTGCGCAACATCGGAACTGATTTCAGGCGTGGATAATTTATCGACCAGAAACAGTCGTGCAACGTTCTCATGAGGACCTAAGACTACTCGAACTTCTAAAGGATACTCGTCATCCTTCAGTCTTCTTTGCTCTAAAAACAATACAGATTGTATATAATGAAGAAAAATATAATCACACGTAAGTCAATTTTCTAGAGAATCGCAGTTTTCTTACCACCATTGTCGCGGACTACAAATAATGCAAAGTTATCGGACTTGGCATCGACTTTATATTTGTCCAACATAAGATTAATAACTTCCTGAGTGTTCACTAGACTCGTTACCCAAACGGACATCTGCGATCCATGAGGTGGCGTGAAGAAACTGGTCTCTCGGTTGTAAAAGTGGCCGTTGATTGAGCAACGACGTCGTAATCGGCTTCGCGATTGACGTCTGCCGCCTGGACGTCGTCTGATCGCAGTGGAACCTTGTTTGCGACGCAAAACGACACCATCTAACTGCAACCAGAAAATAAATTCATATGTACACTTAAAATTATAGAGTTGACAGAATAAATTCGCGATATGATACCTCTAATCCGCTGTCTGTAGACATAGTCATATTGTCGTCCTCTCTGAATTGCAAAGAATTCACCGAATCCGTGTCACTATCAGTTCTATGTCTCTGAAGACAATCAGGACCGGACAACGATCGGTTCAAACCCTTTTCGATCCAGCTATCGTCGGTACTAATTGACTTATTGCCGGGGTTCTTCTCCAAGTTGTCGAAGTACTCTACTCTTCGAAGCGTACCATTTCGATTAGAAGCTCCTAAATTACAGACAGGAGTGTCTGTACTAGAAGAACTACCTATGCTGTGCGTTGGCGTGCTATTTAAACTACTGTCGTTATCTCGACTAGTAGTGTGATGATTGGGGCTGCTCGTTTCCGAATTTTCGCGGGAATCCGATCGATCGAGACTCGACTGAGACGAGAGTGGTGGCGTATCCATACTAGATTGCGAACTTATTGATGGAAGATTCTCAGGCATCGTCTGATATAATTTATTACCACCCTCAACCTTTCGTTCCACCTGCAATCATATTTCTCTAGTTTACTTCTGTTTAATCAATTAAGCATAAATATTAAAAATAAAACCTGTAAGAGTTCATCTAATTCATCCCATTCCATATTCTTGACATCCAATTTCATAGGCAAAGTGAGACTCTTCAAATGATCGGGCGATGTTGGAACAGACTTTGCATTATTTTCCACACTGCTATCCAATGTACTCTTAGATAGTTCATCTGCCTTATCTTCGTCTTCAACATCCTATCATAATTAAAAGCAATGAATAGATGTTATCAAACCTTAACGCAAATAAAAATGACAAACCTCAGAAACACTGTGCCTGCATGAGTTTCTATTTCGTGCAGTAACTACTGTGCGCTGATCGTCATCTTCTTTCAAATGGATTACACCACGGACTCCCCAATAAATTCTCAATGCACCTTCTAATATCAATCTTCCATTAACCTGTTTTAAATTGCTATTTGTTTATAAAGATATTTTTTATAATACGAACTATATATAAATATTATGAAAAGCCTTTATACCTCACGACTTCGAATTCCTCCACTTTTGCCTTCATAATACTGATTAAAAACTTTCAACTTGGATTCTAGATGCGATCTAAAATATTAAAAAAATATTTATTTTTAAGAAATTATTTAAATAATGAATTATCTAAATAATAAAATGTTTATTTTCTTCAGTGAAACATTCAACTATAGCGATTTTTAATTTATTTTAAATAGAACTTCTTGGATTTTTTAAATTTAGGTTTATAATAAAGCAATGAACACAAAATAACAAAATGATATACTATCTTAAAACAAATAATAAAAAATTTATTTTTAATGATTTATATAGAATTTTTATGTGTATTTACCTTGGTAAAGATGGTCGACTTTCCTTTTTTCCAAAACTTGTATGTGATTCCACCCTTGTGCCATGGCCGAATAATTGAGGTCCAAATAATGCTCCATAGCAAGGAACGTGGCAATAAGGCACGCCTTTGTGCTAATTTTAATACAATAACAGAATATACATTGTAATTATCATATAATCTATAATATCAATTTATAACTAAAAGAACAATAAATACTTTATTTACATTACCTCTGCATGTTGTCCAGGATTCAAACGCTTTCCACATTCCTCACATCGCAAGCATTCTGGATGCCAATCATATCCCAGAGACTGTTTACGTTCAGCTAAAAAGTTGATATATTTGTTTGAATTATGTATCTAAATAACTTTTCTCTGCGAGTTACAATATTAATGACAGTACAGGTCTCTTATTATTTTACAATATTATTATTTTAAATGTATATTAATTTTAAATATTATGAATAATCAAAGTAATACAATAACAATAGACAGTTTTGATTCTTCACTTTATTCAATATAAACCACAGCCGAGTATTCTGCATCGATACCCATGAGTATCAGTAACGAGGTAAATCGATCGCTCTGCTCCAAATCATGAGTAGCATGATACTTGTCAGAGCGAACACGTCGTCTCGACAAGTCGCAAATCGCGAAAACTCACCGAAGTAAACAGGTTTGCCGCATTTGTGGCACTTCCACATGATGACGGACGCACGGCACCCTGGAGGGACGGCAACGGGTATGTTTTTGTCGGAGTCTCAAATGTTTAAACCATTTTGTTTACATTAGCGGAACATTTCGTTTATTGGAAGTGACATGCGGGTTAATTACACAGATGTTACTAGCATAGTGATTCTCTGGATTCTCTGGACTTTCTTAGAGAAGATATCGTACCGTCGATTTCTCTGTATATGACAAACGCCACCTAGGCTAACTTGTATCTCTCGTAACATACACCATAAAATTGTTTGTGTGTGTATGTGTGTGTGTTGGCGATAAAATACACATTCATTAAAAAGATATTCAAAAACATATGATAGTTTACCTCAAAAACGAAAAAAAAACATGAAAACAATTAATTTTTTATAACATAAAAATATATTCTGCTCTCAATTACATTTATATTCTTAAATAATAAAAAATACTTTACATAATAAACATCTTAATAAAAAGTATATTACAATAAAAATATTTTACAAAGAAATAAATTTTATAAAATAAGATGCTTAACAAATAAAAAAAAGCTAATTTTAAAGCTTATATAAGTTTTCTTTCTATAATAATATAGAAAAATATGAGGATTAAAGCAGTCTTCATTAATATTTTTATTTTTATCAACTGTTAATTATTTAAAGGTATTTTGTACAAAAAAATAAATTTTACTACTACTATCACAACTGAAAACATTACAATATATTTTCTTCACTGTTTATTTTTACTCTGCCTCTCCATAGCATCCAAATATTTCTTTTCAACTTCAGCATTAAAGTCATGAATAAAGTCATTCATCTCCTCAAACACCTGTTTACTCTGGACTGGAAAGTACTCCTTTTTTGCTTGTATCACCCACTTATCAAAATAGGCTGGCTGATTGACATAGTGAAATACTCCAACAGGAAACGATAAATAGAGAAACATCTTGGCTACCTCTAATATCCAACCCATTTCAAGTACCTAAGGAATATAAAACATTTGTAGTTACAACTATCTGTCTTTGGTTTTCAAGAATCATTTATATTGACCATATTCTGTTAACTTATGCTATAATTTGTAAGAATTGTTGAAACATAAGTTAACAGATTATGATCAGCATAAATAATTCTTTATTCATAACTTAATAATCAAATCTAACTATTATTTTCTATCATAATTATATTTTATATTCAATATATAGAACAAGTTTTTTAATTCATCGATTGATCAATCATATTATGTGCAAATGCAGTTTTTACATAACAAAATTACATTAACTTACAATGCAATTGATCAATCGATGAATAAAAAAATTCGCCCATATTATAAATATATGTAATTCTTTATATCTATCTAATTCAATTACAATACTCTTTATACAAATTTTTCTTCATTGTGCAAAGAAGAAAAAAATTACATTAGAATATTTCTACTTAGGTTAAACATTCTGTTGATATATATATTGTTAATAACTTTTTTTAATTTTATTATCGATCTCATTATTTAAAAAAAATCATATCGTATCTCAATTGTAAAAGCAGAAATTCTTTATTTACATTTGATAAACAAAAAAATGCGACCAAATATTCCAATAACAGATATGTTCAAGAACAATTTAGATCGACGACAGCATAATTTGGAAATACAGTCATAGACGAAAAAGTTATAGAAATTATAATGTTATACCTTAAGTATACGTTAAAAAAAACAATTATGTAGGAAAATCAACAAAAATCACTTGAAATATTTTAAGTTATTCTTCGATAACATTTCAATATACAATCTGCATCATATATGTAGACTTCTTGTCACAAACTGTGCGAATAACAAGAGTGCGTCATGGTGGAATCAGAAAGGTAAAGCATTGCGCATGATGGATAAATTTCGACCAATCAGATTTCGCCAACGACATTTCATAGCATTTCAAGTGGTCTGCATTCTGTTCCTACACTAGACTGTTTTAAAACTCTCTTTCTCGCTTTAAACAAATATCAAACGTATATCTTTAAGTTCCAAAAGTGTACACTAGTTTAGCCACTGTTACTGTCGAACGACAGGGGAATGCTCGACTGTAGTTAGTTGATTCTTACATTCTGATCCGATTTAAACTTTCGGTGAAAACTAGGCCATAGATCTGTTCGCGTTGCTTGCACTTTTTGCACTCAACATCTTCGCTTTCTCTCTTTTCAATGGCCAAATGTGTATTGAACCGAGATTAACACCCATGTGCATAGTTCTTCCTTATTTTAAGGGTGGAGGAAGCCTCCATGAAGGATTCCTCGATTTTTTAAGGCCTTCTTGTTTTATAAACTGATCTCAAGTCTGCCTTCCCGAAAGAAAAAATATTTTAGGGATTTTAATAACCTGAAGGCAGCATATCATAATATACAATATATGTAAATCTAATATTGTGAATTACGAATAATAAAGACTATAAAGGTATTGTTGATTAAATAAAATCGTGATTAAGTATTTTGCAAAAAATAATGGACAATAATAAAACTAATAGCAAATTTGATTGGACGCACTATACATTAAAACCGTCGTATATACACAAAATAACGTAAATATATGTTTATAAATAACATAAAAATCGATTAAATTGTGAAATATTCAATACATTTTATTGTACTGTTAGATGAAATATGTATATTATAATTCGAAATATTTGCATTTTATTTTTATACTCAAATTAAATTAGTGTACAACGGCTTTTTAATATGCATCAGTGTTTCCAATCGAATTCGCCATAATTGCTCATTGTACGAAGAAGGAGAAAATGCTTTTAGAAAAGTTTATTTCCGAAAAAAAGCTATCGAAAATAATTATTGATGCATCAGATTTAAATTAAAAGCTATTGAAAATAAAAAGACCAGTGTGACGAATTAAATTTGAAGGTTTGCTTGATTATGAAGGTTACATCTCCTCAAGGAAATTCGTAACTTCCCTTGAAAAAAGAAAGCTAATAAGGCTCCTTGTTTGGTCAAAGAAGGTTTATGAAACATGAAATGAGGAATAAGGAATCCTCATTCCTCAAGGAAGAACTATGAATACGGACGTAAAATTAATCTACTTTGATGGAAACGGATATAAGTACGTGTTTAACAACCGTGAAACGCGAAACATGGGGCTATTCATAGTCCGTTTTTATTTTAAAACCATCTTAAATATAATGTCTTAAGATGTTAATAGTCCTCGGATTGACTTACGACATCTTAAAATTGACTTAAGACAGTCTTAAATGTAAGAATCGACTATAAATGCCGACCTGTTTCGCGCCATGAAGTTGGTACTGAATCTTTCCTCAAGCAAGAAAAGATTCAGAAAAACGCTGACATTATCGACAATTCATACAAATTTATTATTAACATAAATATTTGTCTCATATATTATTAAATTTATGGTTGTTTATTACATAAATGTTCCATAAATAAATATGCATACTTGTAAAGCTCTAATATCCTATATATTGCAGAAAAATTATAATTTTTTCTCTGTAGTTATTATTTCTGTTGATAATTAAACTTTCACGATAACACTGAAATCACAATTTTAAAGAAAAATCGAGTATTAGTTTAGACTTTTAAATGCATAAATACGTCTACTAAACTAATAAATCATAAAATTAGTACAGTATTATTAGTTTTTAATTCTTAATCACTTCAATATTCACAAGAACGCGAACTCCCGTAAGGATGTCCGTCTTTAATAGTATCTTGTCGGTGGTTTGGTCTCTTTTTTTACTCCATGATGCCAACCCGCGATTACGACTCGCGCGCAGTCGCGCAGACTTCAGCTAGTTGCAACTATTGTTTTCTTTCGGCGCGGCGATTACGGCGTCCTGTTTGTCAATTGTAAAAATGGCGATGATATGAATGCAAGATTTGAATGCAGCCGCGAAATATAAGTTTAAAAAACAGGGTGACATTCCCTCAAGCTGTAACAATGTTATTCTTTCTGCGTTTCCACTTAGTCTCGTACTCGATGACGTAAAATGAATGTTCTAATTTAAATAAAGTGAGCGGAAACACGAGTCGATGTAAATTCCAAATATCTCTAATTTAAACGTCTTTGCGAACGATAATTGCGATAACGTCGCAACAAACAGTTTCGTTCCGTTTTGAGAAGAGAACGGTGAAGCGTATTCATTTTTTTAATTTGTCAGTCAAAGTTGTCGAATTTGAGGAAAGCGAGAGGCTACACGTTGGTAGCAATGCATTACAAATGTTTGGCATGTTTGCCATTTGTTGCCATTGTTGAGACGCAATAACGCATTCGAGAGTAGCATTGTTTGCCTTAAATCGTGATGCCTCGATGAGATTTCCTGGGCATTACGAGGTATATTCGACGCAATCATGGAAGCTTTACTACCGTCCGAGATCGCGCGACTGGTGCTCGGTAAGATCCAATAGAATCAAAATCAAAGTATCACGCGTAACCTTTCCCGCGAGAATACCATCCCTCGGAGACTTTGTAGCCTTTCTTACCTAGCTGTCATAATCAATTTGCTGCCTTTGCTTGAAAGAATATATCCCTTTTATGCCATCGAATTCTGTCACGCAATTACATTGTCTTCTTAATGTATTCGCATCTAATGTACAAACAAATAATATAACAAAGTGTTTTTTATATTTGAGAGTAATATTGATACATTAAAATTGTAAATATTATGTAATTGTACGACTACAGTTTCCTTAATAGAAAAAGAAAAACTTTTGTTGAGTGATTATGATTTCTTTGAGTTTGCTTGTTTTAACTATGTTTTTTATATGCTTGAATTTGGAGAGGATGGAAGAACTATAGAAAGTTTCACTATAGAAAGCACAACAAAGAGAATATTTTAGTTGTGTAGGAATGTTTTTATACTTTAGGTTTATTTTATATATTACTTTTATTTAATAGCACTAATCAAGTTGTATGGTTGATTTATGTTGTAAACCTGTTAAAAAATTTTTGCTTCTAGGTTATTTAGAAGATCAAAAATGTACTGAAGCAGCTAAACTGTTTTTAGAGACATCTCCGCACTTGCAAGAATGCCGTACAGTACTTTCTTGTGGGAGGAGATTTAGCACCAGAGTTAATGGTCTAACATTGATGGATATTATTGAAAAATTGTCAGCTATCAGTGCTATGAGTAAATAATAGTGTCAATTAATTTTTTAATTTAAATTTAAATAATAATAATAATAAATAGATGTAGCCGGTATATTCTGCAAATATTTAGCTTGTGTTATACAAACATACATTATTTCTTATAGTTCAAGAACGGTTAAGCAAAGCCACTGATTGTGAACAGTTAAAGCATTGTGGAGATTTAATAGAGCAACTCAAGTTTCTTGTAGAAGAGCCACGTGGTCAACGATTTGTTGTAAATATTAATGTACCTTCACAGGTAACTTATCATTATCTTAATTGCTTTCCACAGTATTCTAAATTTGCAGATATCTGTCATATTTAGCATAATGGAAAAGCAATTTTGGACAAGCTCTAAAAAGAAAAAATATATATATATATAGAGCATGTAAACATAGGTTATAATATTTAAATTATATGACATAATGTTTTTTCATATTTTACAGAGCAATACACAAACATCAAGTGGCTCACCTGTTGTTGCAAGTAATTTACGGAAAAGGCACCATAGTAATAGTGAACGAATTAAACGCAATATTAAATCTCAGTTAAATTTAGTACAACAATCTGAAATCATGAGCCCGCGTATGTTTATTTTACTTATTTATTTGCAATGTTTATAATACCTTATATAATACAAGATTTTGATAAAACTTATGATGTTTAGATATAGCAGCAAGTTGTCACAATGTTGACACAACACCGTTAGAAAGTCTGCCTGGAAATGTTGATTTGTTAAAGCAGATAGACTGTGCTGCTCATACAGAGAAAAGAGATGACAATTTCACACAGGAACTTTACAGACAATGTGATTTTGATAAACATAATAGTACAAATAGTATTGCTACACGTAATAGAAACAATAATACTCGGATAAGTTTAGGTATAATTATAAAAGTAACAAATCAATTATATAAGTTAATAGATAAGTTTGTAGCTTTATTTTTCTTATAGACGATGTCTCAAGTGTACGAAGTTGCGAAATGGACATTGATGATAAAAGAAAGGAAGAAAACAATGTAATTAGTACAATACCTAAACAGTATACTGCAGCCACAAGTACAGAAGAATTATTGAGTTTTTCTAGTGCAGAAGTCCAAACTATTCCTTATGAGATACCTGAATCAGAGTCCGAATCTAATGATGTGCCTATTGAAAATCTTAGTGTAAGCATCTAAGTAACTAATTTTCTATTTGTATGTTTATATTATTTACATTAAAATAATTACACAATTTATTTTATTTACACAATAACATAATTTATAATTTATAAAAATTTACTTTCCAAATCACTATGAATACATTATATCATTAAATATATTATATATGTGCATGTTTACATACATTTTCAGATATTAACGAAAGAAATGTTAAATCGTGAAGAATTACAACAATGTATTGCAGAGAACATCAACAGAGCAATCATTCCTACGGACTTATCTTTGAAAGACGATTTGAATGAATCAATGATCGGTGAAGGAAACACTTCATTTATGGCTGAAATCAATAATGCTATTAAATCAATCGTCGAAACAACAGAATCCGATCCTGTGTTTAAACGATTTATTGCTGAAACCATTGGGGTGCATACAGAAACAGACACAAGTCCAGAAGAAGATGGCGAAGGAAAGTTAAGCAAAAAATCTGCTAATGAGTGTGTATAGATTTTATATTCTT